CGGGTGTGTGTAACGGCCGCCTTTTCCTGGCTCCAGCCCTGCAGCCCCTGGGGCTCTGGGCACAAGGTGTCTGCTTGACACTGTACACGAAAACCCCCATCACAGCGTGCCTGTGTTTTCCCAGAATTTCACACCTCTCTCGGACTGTTTCCAGCTCTCTCTTCCCCAGAACCGTACTGTGCCAGGAGGTCCTGAGAGACCCTGGGCCTGGGGGTCTGGTGAGACGGAAGTGTTGGCACAGGAGGACCCACGGTGTTTTCTAAGCCTGCTTCTCCCTTTGCACTACTGAACTTTCCCGTCTCCTTTCCATTCTTAAATAGAATCATACCATCACAGACTGTTTTGGGTTGGAAGGGACCTTAAAGACCATCTAGTTCCAACCCCCCTGCCATGGGCAGGGACACCTTCCACTAGACCAGGTTGCTCAAAGCCTCATCCAGCCTGGCCTTGAACACTTCCAGGGATGGGGCATCCACAGCTTCTCTGGGCAACCTGTTCCAGTGCCTCCCCACCCTCTCTGTGAAGAACTTCTTCCTGATACCTAATCTAAATCTGCCCTCTTTCATTTTAAACTTGTTACCCCTTGTCCTGTCACTACAGGCCCTTGTAAAAAATCCTCCCCAGCTTCCTTGTTGGAAGGAAATATTGTTTGCAGTTGTAGCCCATCAAAAACACTGTTTGTATAAAGTTAATTTGTTGAAATCTTGGATGACAATAACTTACTTGATGTGATTAGAATGGGAATTTTCCTGTGTTGTTATTTTCAATAGACTAAGCTATTTAAGTATTTATACATTATTGCGTTTTATGTTAGGCTTTGTATTTGTTTAAAGTAAAAACTTACTTGCTTTAATTAGGTGTGGATGGCAGAGCAGAAAATATCCTATGATAAGAAGAAACAAGAAGAATTAATGCAACAGTATCTGAAAGAACAGGAATCCTATGATAATCGGTGAGAATTGGCATCAGTTCACACACTTCTTCCTACTGTCCCTTGCTTTCATGGCAGCGACAGACGTGTCGTTGTGAGTTATTTGGCGTACTGTCCTCCCCCAACTGTGGTCGCAGGAGAGGTCAGTGACTCGCGAGTTGGAGTCTGATGAAGCAGCTTTAAAGTGATATGTTGCACAGAACAGCAGGTAACTTCATATAAATACCTATTTGGATCACATAGAAATCTGTCTTTCATAATTCTGAGGACTCAAGAGTTTTTGGTTGTGATTGAAATGCGTGATTTTTCATACGCGGTGGAGCGTGCAGAAATACTGACTGATCTTTCAGGTTTTTTGATACTTAACTTCTGTTACTCAAATTAACAAGTGAATAACTGCCAGTCGTTATAGCAATTTCCTGCTGCACTTTTTTTTCATAAGAAATACCAGTGTGACTGTTTGAGTGTAATACCCCCGACTTTGTCCTTTGTATTTAGATTACTTATGGGCGATGAACGTGTGAAGAATGGTCTTAATTTCATGTATGAGGCCCCACCTGGAGCAAAGAAAGGTACTGCAGTTTCCTTGTCATGGGCAGACAGTACTGCAAAGCTAAAACTCCTCTGAAGAAATAAGCACAGTGTCTTTTATTTTAAAACAGTGTGTTCATAGTGTGGTAAAGCTAGAAGGTATGGTTTTGGGTTCTTCCTATGGGAATAGGCAGGCATACACAGTATGTAATAGTTACACTCTCGCAATACTCTAAATTTCTTTCAAACTGAGAATGGTTGAGTTTTTTTTATTTTTAAGCAACAGTTCACTGTGAAGAGAAAAATCTCGGTAAAATATCTTTCCTGGCCACGGCAGGAATTCTGTCCTTGGCCAAAGGTGTTGCTTTAGCCAGTTGTAAAGCCATCGGGTGAGGAGGACTGGACCTTACCAAGGTGATGACTGGGACAGCACAAACCTGTGGTTTGGCCTACTCTCATTTTTAGAAATAGCAGGGTCACTTTTGCTTAAAGGTTCTGCCCATAATTCAGCTTGATGCCTGTCAAGCATAGGAAATCGCAAAGCAAGAAGTTAATTAATGGGAGTTTTATAAATAATAAATGCTGAGCTCTGTAGTCAGGAGTGCTGGCTGGCCTGGCTCTGGTGGGTTTGGCTGTGGGGGTATTTAGTAGATTCATAAGCCAGACACAAGTAAATGGAAGTTACTAAGAACCTGATGGATACTCACATCAGTCACTTAATTTTAGCAAAATTTCAATGTAAGTGCAGAACTGAGAAGATGCATTGTAGAGGGAACGTGTTTTCTTTTAAAGGGAATACCTCTTTCCCATTTGCACGAAAACCCTTGGATGGGCTCATGCTTCTAGAGCAAATTTTGCATTTATTTAACTTTCAAAGCTCTTAAAGTAATCCCTTACGCTTAGAGCAAATGCAGTTTTAAACTAATGATTTTTGCTAAAAAATCTTTTTTTTTTTTAAAGATTAAGTTGTTACTACTTTTGCAAAGTAAAGTTTTAAAGTGTGTCGTATTTGTGTTTGAAACCAATGTAGTTTTAAAAGATGATTCTGGTGTTACAGGATCTGTAACCATATGCTAAAGGCTGACTACTTATAAATGCACTCTACTTAAATAAAGCTACTTTTGGAGTATTTGCACTATTGTATTAGTATAAAGCATAAAATGTTTTGTCTCCAGCTTAGACACCAGCTGCATTTTACATGTATAATTAATGTATCCTTTCTTTTCTTTCCATGATTTCTGAAAATTCGAAGAGGAAACTAAAGAGGTATTTCATTACATCATTTCTATGTTTTCTTCCTACTTGCTAAAACTATATTAAAAAACATTCAAACTTACCATGTTTTCTGTTTTATAGCAAGAAGGAGAGACTGAATACAAATTTGAATGGCAAAAAGTCGCCCCTCGAGAGAAGTAAGATGTCTGAATAAATATTTTTTACTCTTATTTACCTTTCATATTCTTTTTTTTTTTCCCCTCCTGTTTTGTTTTTGAGCAGGTCACCTGTGTAACCCTGTCATGTCCTGTCAGTTAATTAGTAAAACCTGTAACTGTTTCCTCGATCAGCTTAGTTTTTGTTTGAATTTTACACCTATATTTGAAAACACTTTAAAACTAATGTTTATCAGAACTTTATCTCTGAAATGGATACGCACTTTCCAATAAAGGTAGTTTTGTGTACGATGGTTTAAAAAAAATCCATGAGTTGAGTGTTTGCTTTCTCGTGTGTTTGTGTAACAGATATGCTAAGGATGATATGAATATCAGAGATCAGCCGTTTGGTATCCAGGCAAGTTACATAAATTTCACTCTGTGGATCTCTTGGGTATATTTCAAATATTATCTCACTGCAGAACATTCACATGGACTCTCTTAATTTTATCATCTGTTTCTCAGTGAGTTTAAAAGCTTCTCTTATTTCTGATAGTACAGACATTTCTGTAAGTGCGAAGCTGTATTGTTAACTAAATTAGGTCTTGTCTCTTTTTTTCCTTTTAGGTGCGGAATGTAAGATGTATTAAATGCCACAAGTGGGGTCATGTAAACACTGATCGAGAATGTCCCTTGTTTGGCCTTTCTGGAATTAATGCGAGTTCCGTCTCCAGTGATGGTTCAGGTAGGCAGCAGGGGTCTTTTAAAGGTGCTGGTTAGAAATTCTGGGGGAAATCAGCAGGTTTAATTTTAGGTTTAAGTTTATCATATTTCAGAGAGCTGAAATGGGGAAAACGCTTCTGTGTTCCAGATGTAGGATCCACAATTTCAGGTTAATTATTTCAAATTAAAGGACCTAATTTTCTAATTAGTAACATATTCCAAGAAAGATTGCATAACGACTGTTCCTTTCATTCGGTCAGTGGCAAAAATTCAGAAGCTGCAATGAGATTAGTTTTATTTTGGTGACACAAATACTGTCATTCTGATATAAGCAATGTAAGGGATTGTCAAAGACTGTCCCGGTTCACATTCAGGCAAACTGCTTGGAAAAGCTGGAATATACCATTATGTCTTTGTTAATCACTTGGGGAAAAAAGGAGAGATTTGGATGGGGGTTTTTATATTTATATATATTTT